TCACCTACAAAGTTTTATTTTATCAGGGAGGCAACGGAAGACGTGCTTTGTATCGACTACCACGATACGTTGTTGTGATTGTCGACGGCTCTATAATTCTGGACTCTCGCAACTAGGTAATAACCCGATAAATAAATGTAGTAAACATACAACGTGGGTGACTTTTTGACAGGTCGTAGTCATCGTACCGAATGCACCCAATGAACATATCCCAACTCAACAAGATCCGGACAACGAAACCTGCACCGCTCTTATAACGGTGGTGAAATAGGCCAGGGCCTAAGCAAAAGAAGGTCATCGAGACCTCTCTCATGAAAGACGTGGACCCCGGCAACGCTCAAATAAAACTATTTAAATTAGAGTTTGTATTTTTCTTTCATATTGCCACACTTGGTAACCATTTTACAAAAGCAATAGCTCACTTCAGGCCGTGATATATGCTCATTATATCACAGCACAGCTTCGCGTCGGGCCGAACCAGGCCCCTTAGCTGTGATATAATGAGCATATACCACGGTCTGTCGTGAGCTATTGCTTAAGTATACACTGTAGTGACTGTACAGTCAGTGTACTGTACTGTTTGTACACCATGTCTTTTCTACAACTCTACATGTGTACATTATACAGTACATACTACATACATAGTGATGTACATCCAAAAATACAATTTTGATACAAATGTCATACATAGTTAACTTAAGCATCTATCATCTATGTCACGCTGTCCACTACCTCTAAGCCAATCACATCGCTAGCTTCCCTTGACGTCACACAGATCTCGCGAGCAGTTGCGATATTTTTGCGAGACTTCGTGAGTTCAGTAATGGCCGCCATATCAGAAACCGACGCAATGTTTTTCGTCTTTTCTCAGCGCAAATTTCTCGATCTATGGAAGGTTTTAGATGGTTTAAAACAAAAAGGAGAATATATACGTAAGTGCTAGTTTTTTTGCGAGTCCAAGTACCGGTTCCCGACCATCCGGTTTTAACCGGACTTGAACCGAAACTTTTTACAAGCCCAGTACCGGTTCGGCGTACCGGTACGCATCACTAGCTATGCCCTCATCTTCCTCTATAATTATTTTCTCTCACCACTGCCGATTGGGTGCATCCTGTTTCATTGGGTTTCTTTGAAACATCAAACAGGCTGAATCACCAGGAGTGTGGAGGTCTTCTGGCATCATGACCTTAAAAGGAACTTTTTTACTGCTTTTTTATGGGTCCACAGATGGAAAGCATTCACTACTGGAAACTTGGTATTCCCCACATGACATGGCAAAGTTGTTTATTTTAATTTGTTTTCATTCGTTTTTTACACATCCTTTCAGACATTAACCCATTAGTACTTACTTAAATAACAAAATAGTTAAGTGTCCTCCAAAATATCAAATGTGACCTATCCAAAGATTGAGCCAGTCATGATTCATGACTTGGATAAAATGTGATGCAGGGTTGTTTTGGCATGTGTTTGGCATAGAGTACCATTTGAAGAGATGACTGCAGGAGTTACAGCTCATAAAAGGCTGTCTTCAGTGGCTGAAAGGTGAAAACTCACTGCAACGGCCCAAACCACTTCCGTTATAAAGGTGGACAACTGTCACTGTTGGCACAGTTAGTCTGTTTCATAACTGTAAGCGTTTTGTCACGATATTTGAAATGAGGTATCTACGTTAGCTAGGTAGCTCACATCTGATCTGCACGACCAAAACTTGTCCGTTTCTCCACTCTACTTCTATATGGAAAAAAGCTCAGTGCATTCCTTTATTAGATTCGGTGCCATAAACGAGCCACACATTTGAAGTAAATATATATATGTATGTATGTGTTAAAAAGGATGTCATGATACACTAACTGTTACAGAGGAAATAAAATGTGCAGAGGAAACACGTTTAAATAAACATGTTTTCTATTTTTATTTTTATAATCTTAACAAGGTGTTATGTTTCCCATATCAATACATGTTGCCAGTTGCCACTAGACAAAACATAATATTTAATTAAATCAAAGTATTCATGATTGAACAGAGAGATTATCCTAAGAAGTGGCCTTATCTAGACTGTACACACCCTTTGACTAACAGATAAAGTAGTTTTGTGTCAGTGTTGCCATGACCCTGTACTGTTACTATGATGTTCACCGTACATGTCCATGTAATGTTATCCACGCCCCCCTGTACGGAACCGTCTCTATTTATAGGAGTCTCACTGAGTCAGCAAACAGGACATGGAAAGCGAATTCCTCAGAAAGAGCTGAGGAAGGAAGGAATGTCAGCTTCCTTTCTGTGTCTCTGGGCTTTAAGTCAATTGCCTAAGATGATCCTAACTTTGGTTGTGTCTTTATGTGTGCCTGCCCCCTCCATGAAAATGTCTCTCGGGTATTCAATGTAAAATCATCACATTTCTCTTATCAAAACCTATTTCTCTCATTCACTGCCAAATCTGTTAAATCCATTTCACGGTTCCTGGACAAAAATAGATCAGAGTCTATCACAATGCATTGAATGGAAACCACAAATGCTGCACTAATGCCGTCAAATTAACAATTGCAGCATTAGGCTACGCTCTGTATGCAGCTTGTTGCTTTTATTTTTCCACAGCAAAATATTTTATATCAATGATGCAGACAATCTAACCAAGAACATTGTTTTATTTTCCTGTTTTTTTTTCTGAAAATGTAAAATACATAACTCAGCTTGCCGGTATTTTTGAAGACATGTTTACAAACAATGACTCTAAAATAGGATTTTTATGGATAGTCATTTTCCGCTTGCATCCTGCTCTTATTCATAGCAACAGGTTTCCTGAAACAGTTTTAATAAATCAATTCTTATAACTTAAAATGGCGGCAATCCAGCCATTAGAAATGTTAAATGATGCACCAAGCGCACCTCTTATGGGACACAGAGCCTGAGGAAGGAAGCCTGGGTTAACAGAGACAGATGATAACCATCTTTATGGTACCCATTCTCTCTGATTAAGGTCAAGTCAAAGAAACCCTTAGGGCCCCTTAAGTGAAGGTTTTCTGTGGTTCTGGTCATTCAAAAAGGATCCTGTTCCTCCGTGTGTTTTTTCAAGGTTACTTATAAGTGGGATGTGGAAACATCTAGGGTATAACAATTAAAATGAACTTTTCAGTGAAGTACGAGACTTTTGAAGATTTGTGTTTTGTTCAGTGAATTGCTGCTGTGCCATTTTACTTCACATCTTGTTTGCAAACCTTCAGAATAATCCTGTTGTTTTATCAGTATAGTGAGATGACAGTGAGGTGAAGTACTGCATGTGAGCACAGCACTGATTTCTGTCCATACCTGCGTCTGTTGGATAGACTCTCCGCCGTCTCACTGGTCACAACAACGTGGGTGGAGCCTCCTTGGCTTTCCTCGTGCATCACCTCAATCTGTGGCACAGAAACACACACATTCAGGTAAATGAGTTATTAGGGCAGCTTGTAAAACGCCTTAAATGCAAATAATGTCTTTTCTTTTCAGCTTGGTCCCAATAGAGCTCTACAATGGCCCAGTCACTAACTAGAGCCAGTAAAAACCAGGTGTTTGCATTCAGGTGGTCATCAAGTCCTTAGTGAATATTAGGCTAATGGTAAATCCAGAGATTACCTTTTCTTCTGTCAGCAGCCGTTAATACAAAAGCTGGTGTTGTGATTTACCCTACAGTTTGCACAGAACTGCTGTATATAAACTATGATGTACAGTAGATGAGACAATTTGGTCATAGTGTTATCTTGGCATTTTGAGCAACATTTTTTGTGGTTACTATGGAAAACAAAGACATCTAGTTGTGTTCTCTGTGAGGCTGGATGGAGGTTGCAGTGACTAGCGCCGATTCAATTCCCCGAACAGACCAAGTATGTATAGCAAGTACCAATAGAGGTATCAATAATTGTGAGACCACACCTTGCCCCAGTGTCACAGTCAGTTCCTCTTTTTCTAATTCATGATGATTAGAGCTTAAAAAATCTTTAAACTGACTTGTTAATCAGGCTTTAATGTTGGTGAGATTTCAGATTAGCACTGCAGGAGGGTACCTTGATGCCTCCTTTGGCTTTGCGTATGTTCTTCTTCTTGGGGTCAGCTTCGACTGGCGGCTTGCCACTGTTGGTGTTATCAGACGCTCTGCGAGCCAGTGCTGTAAAAAGTTCAGAGAACCAAGCATAAGTGTCAATCATATCACAGACATAAGCATTCAAACAGTTTGAGTTACCATGGATTCATCTTCTGAAGGACAATTTAGCAAGTTAAAACAACATGCAACTCACGCTGCTGGACCCCTGTGGTCCTTGGGGGGGTCTTCAGAGGCGGCCGTTTGGGAGAGGACTCGGGCCGTGGGGCGACGGGCTGGACGGGCCGTGTCTGTTTGGCCGACAGCCTCTTCAGACTGACGTGCCGCTTCTGGAACATCTCCTGCACGTCCTCCAGGCGCTTCAAGGCCTTCAGGACGTTGGCCTGCAAAACGCTCAACATCAACTCTCCTCATCATTATTTAAACACAACATCCAGTCAGCTTGTCAACTAATGGAATCGTGTTCCATACCTTGATATCCTCAGACAGGACGACCTCATACTGATTGTGAAGGTTCCTCAGTTCAGTCAGTTCAGTGTTTTCCGCAGACTCCAGAAAGCGTTCTATGTCCGTCAGTGCTGACTCCGCCCCTTCCTGTGACTGACACCTATCAACAGCCTGGGAGGCCAGCAGGTAGATGCCAGACTCACACCACTGGTTAACCTGGACACAAGATACATTCAAACAGGGGGAAAAGTCAATTTAGCGAACAACATACCATACATTGTAATTCCTCAGTGTAAATCCTGGGTTAAGATGCCACTGGGGTCAATAGGGAACATACACAGTTTTCTCTAGCTCTTCACCACCTTAATTAAATTAGGGGTTGAGGTTTTAGCCTAGTTAACGTATTATAAAGGACAGAAAAAAACTCAACATAATACCCTAAAATAAAATAAAAACTAAACGTATGATAAAAGCCAGAATTTGAGTAGGGGTTCAGACATTGTATTAAACATCATAACAAAATATTACAAAATATATATTTATAAGATATAAACAAAGTCAGAAACCTGTTGCCCAAGGCTGATCCAAAGTCAGTCTTTGAATTTTATGGACTTTTTTTGTCTACAATGCAATGAGAGATAATCCAAGTGCTGGGAAACTTGTGTTTCTGGGTGTGACATCTGTTCATGATATCATGTTCTCACCTTATCAATGCCTATGTGTATCTGCAGGGATTTGGACAGGACATCTGTCTTTTTATTGGAATCGTTGCTGAAGTCGTCAGAGACCCGCCGGAGCTCCACGCATTTGGGTCGGATAGAGTCCACAGCGTAGTGGTCGCTCTGGATCAGCTGGTCTCCGTGCAGTGCGTGGAGCTGGGCCTTCTCTAGTGTGGGCTGAAACAAACATATTTCAGAATTTATCATAGTCAGCAGAAGACAAAAGAGCTGTCATGACTAAGATTGAGGTAAGAAATACATACTTTTAAAAGTAATAAGTGTCATCGTTTCTCACTTTTGTTGTATGATGCTGAAGTACCAAAACGATTGTTTATAACCTATCCTAAATATTTTTTTCTGGAAGAGGTGTGTGATGAAATATTGCTATGGCTATGGCTCAGAAAAAATAGAGGGTTCGTCAACCTATCAGATTGTTAGTGGTTCTATACCTATTCAGTAAATATGTTGATGACCTTGAGCAAGATACTGAACCCTAAATTGGCATGGCCAAGTGTGTGTGTGTTTGTGTGTGAGTGTGAGTGTGGGAGTGTGCGAGTGTGCGAGCGAGTGCGTGCGTGCGTGTCGACTGACCAGAGCCTTCTCCTCTAGCGTCTTCAGTTCTTTGAGCAGATATTCAACTCTGGCCACGCAATCCCCAATATCTGATAGGCCGGTTAGACTGTCCATCAAACTGTCTAGAGACACTTTAACCTGGAAAATCAAAGAGGGGACAGAAACAGAGACAGGGAAAATAATTGTGAAAATAATTACGTTACTCACAATATTTATTTTTGCAATATCAAGACTAATCATCAATTGATATCCAATGTTCTAAAGACATTTTACAGCAAGACAACACAGAACTCTTCAGAACTTGAGGTCTCTGGCAAGTAATGAAACTGAGTCAATGTATTTACTATGTCCAAACTAGACCCGGCAGTACAGCGCTTTTTCTGAAGTATGGTTTTCAAAATATGACTGTACAGCTGAATTATTTTGAAGCTGTAGGAAGAGTTGAAACCGGCAAGATCCAAAGATTTCAAGCCAAAGGCAGCCAGGCGGAGAGGCAGCAGATCTACAGATATACCTCTCTGAAGTCCTGTTCAAAGTGGCGGAGCTGCAGGCACTGCTCCAGTTTCAGATGGTGTTTACACCAGAACTGTTCAAAGGCGTTCTCCGTCTCATCCAGCTGGGCTAGGAGTCTGAAACATCCAACAGGACCATGATTAGAAACACATTGAGAGGTATTCAATTATTATAGTACTGCATTACCATGATAAAGACTGATATGCATTTTTAAAGGTGGGAAAAAGCGTTGTCACCTTTCCACAGTGGTTTGGTTCTCCACCTCGTCTGGGTTCAGTTGGTGGTTCTCTGACTTGGCCGCCTGCTCCTTGATACACCCTAACAAGGTGGTGCCCTGCTTCAAAGCTAACTTCAGTTCATCCTGATTTAAAAACGTAGAAACAAAATAAACAACATTAAAATCATCTGTTAAATAGCAGGAATTGGAAAACATTCTGGTGCAAATTCAGACAGACATACAATAATTGCATTATATTACATTGCATTTAGCTGACGCTTTTATCCAAAGCGACTTACAATAAGTACATTCGACCAGGAAGATACAACCTTGAAGAAAACAGAATCATATACTGTAAGTACATCAGGTTTCATAGAGCCAAACATTTCAAGTGCTACTCAACTGGCTTTAGATAAGCCAGCCCTTTATTAATATATAAGTGCTCTGTTTGCAGTTCTTTGTTANCCCCCCAAGGCCAAACTGTCTCCGCTGCTCATTTCTGACTCGTTTGGCTCTAATATCCCTGAACTGGTTCCTGCATTGGTTTCTCTTCCCAGGCTAATCTCATCCTGCCATATTCATGTTATTCCTGCACCTCAAGGACATCAGGCATCTTTTGGACAAGGTTTTTTATGTTGAATCCACTCTGACAGACTTTTCTGTCCTGCAGATTTTTAAGAGATTTGCAAGAAAGAAAATACTTGATCCGTTATTTATACAGATGCACCTGTGTTGATTATATTTTACGAAAATCTTAAATGTCCTCGACACTGTTGATACCTAGAGAGTGAGGAAACTACAAGAAACAAGTGTTATTCGGTAAACTCAACTCAAGAAACAGCTTTTCAACTCGGTTTAAGAAGTGATAGTATTTGTCAAACTTAAATCTTCAACCAAACATCGATCTGTCAAAATGCTAGTTTTAAGTTTATCTCTGTCCTGTTGTCTCACTATGTGTCATATCTGTTTCTACTTCCTGTGTTTTCCCACCTGTTTTGATTGTCTTTCCTGGTGTAACGACAGGTCAAATATATGATTATTAGACATATAATGGTTAATTTACACAGTATTGGCATAGAGTATTCCCATGTTAAGTATCTCTATATATATTGGTAAGGGTTTCAATGTAAATATTTATGGTGTTGTAGATGTAAGCTTCTAAATCGTATCTGCCAGCCAATTAAATTCAGAGGATTGTTCACAGGATAAAAGAAAGTTTTTCCTCCTTTACACCTGCACTTTATCCCCTCATTAGATTCAGCTTGTATTTAAGTTCTGGTTTATTTCTTTCTACTCAGTTTGAGAAAAAAAACAAGGGAGGTGAATAAAGTGTTCAGAGACTGACTTATTAGTCTATTTATCAAGCGACTATCACTAGTTCATACCACTGACACATATCCAATACAACAGTGATCAGCTAATGAAAGTAAGACATACAGTGTTTGAAAACCCCCTCCTTTATGACCGGTTTTATGGTTTAACGTGTATTCTACTAGAAGGTTAATATTAACAGCTGCATTGATTGGAGAAGGACTGAGTGGTTCTTTGTTGAAATGTAAGCGATTGACAGATAATCACTCAGCAGTCATACTTAATCAACTGCATTTCAAACTCTCATGGCTTAAATTGATTTTCCATAAATATGGAAAGTGACTGAGTAAATGTTGGTTACTGTATAAGCAGAGATGAGCCAAGGTCAATGCACCAACCTGAAAAGAGCTCACAGTAAGCTGGGTTACAATATATTCAACAGAAATGAGCCACTAGCTAATCTTGTAACACAGAAAACTAAAATAACAGGTTATAAGAGAAGCACTGCAGCTGCAAGATAAATGATTATAGTCATTAAAAACACAATGGGTGCATTCGGAGAGAAAATAGGTGTAATTTGAATGTGCCTTTGTATATTCTGAAATTGAACCCTTGCTGATTCTCTCTAGCAATTACGTCAAAAAACCAATCTCAGAGCGGGAAAAAAAGAAGAAGAAGCTCCTTCCATCCATCCCATTAACCTCTCAGCCAATCAGCTTGTTGTTTACGCTGCGGCACAACCCAAGGATGCCATCACTTTCCTCTGGTTGATCGTCAGCAGAAAGCAGGTCATGTGGAGGTGGCGCAAAGATGGAGGCAGCTAATTGAATTGTCAGCGTGGCTCCTACTGTACTGCCTCCTCATTGGCTGCCCTCCAGGCCTCTAATAACACGGATGAATGGAATCGATCTCGCCATACAGTGAAGTGTTAATGGGACGTTCAGAAATGCATGCATCTAAGTGTGAAGTGCAGCTGAGAGGAGGTAGAAACCGGCCAATGAAATGGATGCAACTGACCAGGTGATAAGGTCAAAGAAGAAAGATCCTCCAACAAAACAACATACAATATACTGAAGACGTTCAAAGACATTAAAGTAGTGCCAAAAAAACATTAAACTATACAGCATACAGTTTTATTTCATATATAATTGCCGTCGAACTGTTAATCAAACAAAGCTGAATTTACATTTTTGCACACGAGTAACCATCGTTTGGTGATTACACTTTGAATAAATTAACGTAAACAAGCTAATTTACATGTGATGGTAGCTTTTTAGTGTCCTTACAAACACATGCATACTTAAGACGTACAAAAACAAGTAGTGCCAGAAAAATATCAATATGAAATAGCACAAGAGAAATAATGAAATGTAAAATAGAGAAATATAACATAAAAGCAGTGTGAAAAAATAAGTGGATCTTTTCTAAAGTATGTATTCCCAATTTTAAAAGAGCTTTATTCTGCTTTCTTTTTTCCCCCTTTCCTGTAGTGTGTTATATAGGTTTGTGTACATCTAAATGGTCTGTAAAGTCTAACATTCCTGTGTAGTTTCTCTCGTTCAAGCCCATCCTGAAATGCCTCCATTGGACTTTATTTCCTCGCCAGATTGACAAGTTACACTCGCGCTTCTATTGGCTAGGGCTCCAACACACTGTACGTGATAGGCTAAGGGGCGGGATATCTCTAAGCCGTTTACCAATCACAACAGAGCCGGCCAGCTAACCAATCAGAGCAGACTGGGCTCTGGTTTCAGACAGAGGGTGAAAAGAGNTATTATTATTCTCTTTCGACTCCACTTCGAGCGATAGCATTACTAACAAAGAACTGCAAACAGAGCACTTATATATTAATAAAGGGCTGGCTTATCTAAAGCCAGTTGAGTAGCACTTGTTTAGATAAGCCAGCCCTTTATTAATATATAAGTGCTCTGTTTGCAGTTCTTTGTTAGTAATGCTATCGCTCGAAGTGGAGTCGAAAGAGAATAATAATAATAAACACTAATAATTTTAGTGTTGAAGAGAATAGGTCAATTTGCACTGTGCTGATGTGCAAAATGCAATAGTTAGAAACCGTGATCGGCAAATTGGTTCCATTAACCAAAAACAAACTATCTTGTCTGTGCTAACCTCCCCAAAACGTTTAACTACCCTACTAATGAAAATCTTTCCTCTTCCTATCCATTTGACATAAACTAACTAAGCAACAACCAACAGTAGCTAATACATGACTCAGACGCAGTAAAAAGGCTACTTTATGGTATGACCAGCCAGTCATTTTACTCTCAATCCCATTCAAACATTTAAGTGTTTGTTTATCTTGACTTTTTGTATGGTCAACACATCAACATATAGCACCTTGTTTCAAACTCATACAATGGCACACATTTGAAGCTGCATTTCCTCCCCAACAGACTGAAATACATACATGTACTCTCCATGTTATTAGCTGCTGGTGTTTAAAATGCACTGAATCACCTTGAGGTTGGTGTGTTTGTCTGTGTGTGCTGTGAGCAGGTCTTTGGTGCACAGGACGTCATTGGGCAGCTCCGTCTCTGCCAGAGCTGACCCGAACCTCTGCAACATCTGGGCTGTGGTTTTCACTGTCATGGCAAAGTTCTCGACGGCCTGGAGGAAGAAGGCACCATATGGAAATTGGAATTGGAATCACTAATATTAAAATGAACATAGTATTTGTTTATTTGTCCCTGAGGGGAAAATGGGTTGCAGCAAATCACTAGGCATTTCAGGTGGACAGTTTGTATTACTGTGTGTTAACTCACAGTGCGGTGGTGTATCCACTGACTGTGACAGTATTCCAGAGATCCTCCCAGCTCCCGCGTCAGCTGGCCCTTATCCACATAGCTGTGCAGGTCTGACAATGAGTTCAGCATCACGATCTGCAACACATTCAGAACATTACTTCAAGCGTTTGATCATGACCTACATTGTGTAACAGTGACAGTGATTGTGGTAGCACTAATGAGTTAATTGGCAAACCAGTCTCAATTACAGAGAAGTGGCTTGTCAGTCTCTGTAAGGGAAGTTCCCTGATTTACCATTCAACTTCAGTTTGATGTCATGAACACCAGAAGAGAAACACTAGGTATATCAACAGGACTTTGTCTGCCATGTCATAATAATAATAACTAAAATACTGAGTTTCAAATTTGGGACATGGAGTTTGAAAGACATTTATCAGGCATGAAGACCCATGGGAGATGCATTGCGGAAATGTTAGGCTTCAATGTTTTTGGAGGCTCATACTAGGGACCAAAAGCCACATATCAAAGTCTCTGCTGCATTCATTTTGACCATTCCTTTAAATGTGTCTCTTGAGTCCTCTAAACAAATAGAAAATAAAATACTAAATTACTGGAGCACCCATTTAAATTCAACCCTAACCCTGCCTTAATAGCACTGAAAACACAGCTATTATGTACAGTTTGTATATCCTGTTCGTTACACAGTTCTCAGACATTCCTTTTTCCTGGATGTTGTTTTTATCCGAGTTTTGGTTCAATATATGCTCCTAGAACATTTGAAATCTACACAGGTTTAGTTATCATTTATGTTTCCCTTTTCTTTCTTATTTTTGCTATTTTTTTTAAACACATCTGGGTGTGAAGACGTGAAAGCAGGAGCATAAAAAGTGTTCTTCATCTTGCAGTCTGCGGCCAGAGGAGTGAAAACGAGATGTGGTTCATAGGGCGGTTGCTATCATAGAAGCCCAGCTGAGGTCATGGTGTCCTTTTCTTTCCCTTTTATATTTGTGGGTTTTAGAAATCACTGTGGTTTAGATTTTACATATTTTAGGCTCAGAAATGACTATATAAGAGCTTTAGCATTTCTCTCCCAACATTTAATTCATGGCAAAGTGGAGATCTTGAAAAACTATTTACAATCAAATCGTCTTTTTCGCTAAGTATAGTATATCAGCAGGGTTGGGAGGGTTACTTTGTAAATGTAATTAGTTACTGAATACTGAATACATGGCTCTGAAAGTAATCCGAATACAGTTACAGTTACGTGTTCAGATTACTTTTAGAATACTTTTGGAATACTTTATTTTTCCATAACAGATGGGTATGTTTTGGTGCACAGGAGACACTTATGTTACTGTTTTAATGGCTTATCAAGAACTCAAACATAACATCTTGGTGTCATTCTGGACAGCTCCCTCTCATCTGCACCCCACATAAAAAACATCACCCAGACTGCATTCTTTGTCCTGTCTTAAACCTTTCCTTAGAATACGTTATGAATTGTAAGGTGTCCTTGGGTGCTTTGAAAGGCGCCTCTAAATAGATTGAATTATTATTATTATTATTGTTATTAATATTATCTGAAACGAAGTAATAACTTTTAAAACTTTTTCCTTTTCCAGTCACTTGCCCCATGCCAGTCTCTGTCTGTCTGTCTGTCTGTCTGTCTGTCTGTCTGTCTGTCTGTCTCTCTCTCTCTCTCTCTCTCTCTTTCTCTTTCTCTTTCTCTCTCACAGACACGCTGCAGCGCCGTGCACACAGATCTGCCGTAACGCGAGCTGAATACAGTTACTTGATTTTTGTATTCTGATTAACGCCGTTACATGTATTCCGTTACAACCCAACCCTGTATATCAGTTAATTTCATGCAACATTCATTTTTAATGCATTTATTTTGAAGTCTCTAAACACTCTGTTTAACAAAGAGAGAAGTAATTGTTTTCTAATGATAGCAGTTGATAGAGTCTAAGTTGTTGGTACTGAAGCATGCTTACCGGTACCTTCATTTTAAAGTCGTCTTTGTGCATCTTGAACCCAATATCTGATATGGCCCTCTGAAAGAACCTGGATGGCCTCAGCACCAACACCAGCTGCAGGTTTCCAGGAAACGCCACCTGGATAACGCGACCACATGCACATTTACAATACATCCAATCCTTTGATACACATTAATTTACTCATTTAATTCAACCAGGCTACACTAACTGGGAGGAAATTCCTGGGACCAGAATGCGTGTATTTCTTGTATTTAACACTTTAAAGGGCCAAATTATTACAGCTGTTTATTCTGAGAAATCGGACTCAGTGACAGGTCAATGTAGCTCAACATGTCTGTAAGCTAATGCAGAACACACTGCTGACTCATACTGCTTGTAACATTTCATTAAAAAGACTTCCTGTGCGGCCTTGAAACTCAAGATTAATTTCCTTTTAAAACTGCTAATGCACGTATATTACCTCAGTGATCATCACAAGTAGAGTGAGAGGAGTGTCATATTATTAATATAATTACTGGTGTTCATTCATCTCCTTGAATGATTTCTCTCTGCTTGGTAAATGCTATTAACAACCACAAGTCCTTCTGTCCAAACCAACAATACATTCCTGAGACATATTCAGCTTATCATAGCACTCATTATAAACTAAACTATAGCCCTATGAGAATCACGCGGAAAAAAGGAAACAACTCAATAACAATTCAATTGTAAACAGCAGCAGCTGCAGACAGACATGACAGGGATTCTCACAAACAGCAGAAAAGATCTCACAATCCTCAAGTTTAAAAGTCACAGCTTGAGGATTCGCGTTAATTGTGTACTGGTCACAATAGGCCCGATTGCACAAGAACCCCCTCACTCATCTGTGATGATTCACCTAAATTTGTTCTTGTGTTAGCGTATTCAACCCAACTGACCCATAAATGAAAATCACTTGTATAACTCACCTTTAATACCAATGCCTTTAAACTTGACATTTACACTTGTCAGTGAAAAATAATAATATTAAGACTTCTGGCAGTTTCTACGTCTTGGTCAAGACTAGAGCTTTGAATTAGACACTTGAGCTTGCTTGTCTTTCTTAAGCTCTGAGGCTTAAGAGAATATATTTTCAATTGTTTTTTTGTGTGTAAATAAATTGCAATCACTAATCTTTCTACGTAGCCCCTGCAATCCCCCTCAGTAGCCCTAGGGGTCCCTGTACCTCCGGTTGGGAACTTGAAAGGTATGTATGTATGAGACAAACATTTGTTTATGTACAGTATAGGTACAAATGTATGTATATGATGATTCGAATATGAATGTATTGGAGAACTTACAGCGATCCTGGACAGAGAGGCCTTTACTGAGCTCCATTTGTCCTTCCGCCGGTCCATGACGATGATGAAGCCGATACTGGCAGCATCCAGGCTGGATACAGGAGGGAAACATGTAACTGGGCTGCTGCTTTGTGTATCGGTGTGTAAAGTACACTTTACTGCTTTCTGAATCTGACACAGTAGAACTAAGCTGACGCACAAACATCTTGCACATTAAATAAAAACAAACAATAGCTTCACTGCTATAGTTCCAGAAATATAGAGTATTTTTAAAAGATTTTACTGAATTGAAAAAACACAGAATTGTTGAGGTCAGATAGATTTTCAATATATAAAAACTACACAATGCAAAAAGAGTGGGATGGTGTGGGGCCCAGCATCAGGTTGTTTTGGGACCATAATACTTCTTCATTACAATATGTCTTAGACTTTGCCCCTTTGTTCATATATCTGCTGCTCAAGGATTTGTTTGACAGATAGCCAGAGAGATTCAGTAGAACATCCTGGTATTTGAGGCATCCTGCATTAGACATTGACTGATGACACATATTTATAACTATGTATTGCGACCTTCGAAATCAGTGGGGTCCAAACTACGGCCCGGGGGCCAACTGTGGCACAAAGCAAATTCAAAAGGTGTAATGGAGAATTGAAAACACCTGAAATGTGTGCTTTTCTTATATTGTACTTCTTAAATATATATGTAAACATATATTACACAGCATTCATGTGTTAGTTAATAAGCCCAATTTTTCAATACATTCTGTGTTGTTTTTTTTCATGAAATCATTTTCTAACAAATCTTAGTTGATAAAAACAAAAAACAATAACCATTTGGATAACAAGCCTGAAATATACCCTTCCTATTTCCCATTATTATAAGATATCTGAGGCTTCTGTTTTAAGGAATGAGCTGCAGACACTGTTTGTAACAAAATAAGTTAAACCCTATTGAGAGCTGTGATGTAGGCTGTTTTTCTTAAAAAATATTAAATTATCTAGAATAATTAACTACATCTGACTGATTTTGTGAATCTAACTTATAAGGGAATAGACCTCACCTCTAGTGAGGGGCCCAACCCTTCGTATGTTTTTCTGTTTGTGGCTCTCAGTGAAAACAGTTGGGACCCCCCTGATTTAGAGAGTATGGTACTGTAGACTTGGTCTGAAACCATGTATTACCTTTCACAATAAAAGCTCCTATCATATGATATTTGGGAGTTAGTTTTGGGATTTCCCATAATATGTAAAGGCTTTTATAAAGATTTCTGTTTGAGAGTGTGCGTACCTGGGTATGCTGGTCAGGTAGGTAACGACATTGAGGAAGTCTTCCTCCGGCACCTCACTGAAGCTCGAGTACTCTGGGAAAATAATGATGGGGGCGCCATCTTTCCCTCGCCCTCCTGCAACAAAAACACAACACACAACATTTACTCTTATTATGTGATGGGTTTGACTATTGTGGAATTACTTTTATGTTTAGAATTGATAATGACGCCTTTAAACATCACACCACACCACATGGATGTTTTTATTGAATGTTACCACATTAGCTGCTCTCCCCAAAATAAGGAATCATTCACGATGAAACTGTATTTGAGTATACTGCATGTTATTACCAGTGGTGGTCGGCCCATAGGGGCGCTAGGGGCGCTGCCCCCCCTCTTCCCACATTCAAAATAAAAATATATATATTTAAAAAATATATGTTTTATTTTTAATAAATAAGGTAAATATTATATAATTGGTATCAGTAAAATGTATAATCTACAATAAAATCTAGTTTAAAATTGTGTTACGATGTCTAAAGTTACTGATAAATCACATGTTTCCTGCCTGGCCTTGCCCGTGTATCATTACCCTCTCTCGTCTGGGCGCTATGCACAGTGCTCAGACGAGAGTGCAGCAGAAGCCAACTGTTGCTATCTTTAAACTATGCCGCCGAAACATAATTTCAGCCTATCAGCGTCGTCAAATCTGATGGTCACAGGGCGCCTAGGTCAGCGCCCGGTGCAGTCTGTGAGTTGTTTGGACTCGTATCCAAGGAGACAAAACAGGAAGCTGACTCTGGAAGCTATCATTAGCAGCTAATGAAAACTCTGTTTTTGACATAAAAATTGAATTATGGACTATCAATACTTTTTTCAAAGTGACAGACACATTTTCCGGTTAATTTTATTTTGAAATGCAGTTCCTGACGGACGCCAAAAAAGCCAGAGATTAT